ACGCTGTCATTGTACGATTTTGCCTTAAGAGTACACTGTTTATTTCAATAGAATATTTTGCCTTAAAGAGTACAACCTAGCACTTAAGTTGAAGATATATGTACATACAACGACATGCACTTGCATCAAAATTATATTAAGTTGGGCATGTCCAACTCACTTATAATTTTTGAGGAGGTTTGGTTTACGTCCCTCTTCTTTATGTATTCACTTTTTGGATCTTAATATACAAAGGTAGGGGCCAATACCAAATTCAAGTCACCACAAGGCGGCTTTTTAAAAAAATATTGAAGATATATGTACTGACTGCCACTAATTGAAGAGCATAGGAATAAAATACAAATTATTGGCACCTAAAACATTACATACAGTTAAAGGTCCTTCATGCATTTGCATGATGGCCTTGTTTGTTTGGAGTGCATAGAAGTAGAGTGTTGATACCGATTTTAATGAACTACGAAGAAATTGTTTAACAACATCTCTTATAGATTAGTAACCAACTCAACCTGAAGTGGATATTCCAGCATCTATTTTCGATCTTTTTATTGTTTTCTAAACACCTTGTTGTTGAGGAAAGATGAGTGATTTAAGCATGACGGATAGTTTAGTCTATTTATACATGTCCGGATTAGTTAGTCTGTTAGAGGTTAATTATGTGAGTGATTAGTTAGTTAGGAAGTTACATTAATACTAAGCTAATTGTATATATAGGCCAATGTAAAGACCAAAACACAGAGAATGAAAGTCTTTCACTGTTTCATTCATTTCTTCCTCTTCGTCTCTTTTCTCCGTCTCAACTCCCTCTCAGCTAGGGTTTTCTGATGTCCTTGATCTATAAACTTTAGCATGGTATCAGAACCTTGAGCTCTGAATTGACGCTCAAAATTGATCCTAATCCTCTTCTCTGCTCTAATTTCAGTTGTTATTCTCTAAATTTGAGTCAATTATGATCTCAATTTCTCTGATTAAAAGCTTCGAACAACTCAACAATGGCGATTGGTGATGTAGATCATGAAAACGCAATTATCACTACTGAGAACGCATCGCATGCTTCATCGGATGATGAATTTGAGGAAGGCGTTACAGTAGCGGTTACTCATCCTCTGTACCTTGCTCCTGGTGATAAAGCGGCATCTCCTTGATTTCATTTCAGTTGGCTGGAACTTATAACTACTCCTTACGATATCGATCTATGCGAATTGCTCTACTTGGCTGCAATAACCTGGAATTGTTGATGGCGGGTGGCCAAATGAGAGATTCCGTGAGAAGTATTGGTACCAGTGGGAAAGGTGTAATGCTATCGTACTGTCGTGGTTGATGAACTCAGTTGCTTCTTCACTAATTAGTGGTATAGCTTATGCCACCAGTGCACAAACAGTGTGGTTGGATCTACATGAGAGATTTGATAATGTAAACGATACTTGTTGCTATAATTTACACAAGGAAACAACCACTTTGTGTCAAGGTACCTCATTTATCTCTATCTATTATTCAAAACTTAAAGATCTCTGGGATGAATCCGAGTCTGTAATACCTACCCCTGTATGTGATTGTGCCAAAATAAAGGGGTTTATTGTGCATCTACGAAAATAAAAAGTATATCAGTTTCTAATGGGCCTAAATGACTCTTACTCACAAGCTCGTAGTCAAATTCTTATGATGAAGCCCTTACCAATAGTAAATCAAGTATATGCAATGCTCATGAGTGATAAGAGCCAATGGGCTATAGTTGCCTCAGCTGGTGTGTTAGGTCCTCCTCCTACTATGAATGCAAATACCTATGATCCTACAACACTCTATAGTGTTAAGTCCAACTCTAGTCCAAAGTTTAGAAAGAACTATAATGTTCAGTGTGAGTTTCGCAAAATGAAAGGTCATAATAAGGAGAATTATTATAAAATAATAGCATATCCCTCTGATTATAAGTTCAAAAAGAAAGGGGGAGCTAGTGCACGTAATGTAATTATAAAACCTGGTTACTCCATGCCTTTATATGTTGATAGTGCCTCTCAGCACATGCCAATGCAGTCATTGCCTGTAATCTGTGGCCATTATAATGCAATGGGCCATGTTGCTGAAAACTACCAGGTACAAGGGAATTCTGGTTCTCAGGTTCATGCTAGCTCTGCTGCTTCACAGGTTCAAGGTGCTGCAAATGCAAAGCTATCAACTCAAGGAGGTGGTTTTCCATTTACCAAAGAACAATCTGAGCAAATCAAGCAGATTTTGAACAACAATCACAATGGCACCTCATCATCTACTTCTCAGGCAAATGCAGCAGGTGCTACCATTGCTCTTTTGGCATCTTCTAGTCTACAAGAATGAATCATTGATATAGGAGCCACAAACCATATGGTGTCAGATATCAATCTATTAACCAATACCTCCCTAACTGCACTCACTAATCCCAGAAAAGTTCTATTGCCTAATAGAAATGTCACTCAAGTAAATCACATTGGAGATAGTCATATTTCAGACAACAATGTCATTAAAGAAGTTTTCTATGTGCCTCAGTTCAAATTCAACTTGTTGTTAGTCTCCAATGTGACAAGAGACCTAAGATGTTTTGCTTTTTTTATCCTGATTTCTGTGTATTTCAGGATCTCTTCAGTGGCAGGGTGAGAGATATTGGTAGGGAGAGAGATGGACTGTATTTCCTGCAGAATCATGGTTCCAAGAAGTTCACTGCAATCTCATTAGCTACTGTTGGAATAAAGTCACACAATAGTAAATCTACCACTGATGTTAGTTTATGGCATAAAAGATTAGGACATGTGTCTAGTATAGTCCTTAAGAAGTTGTTTCCTGCCAAACTAGCAAATATTACTGATACCATAAATAAATGCACTGTATGTCCATGTGCTACGCATACCAGATTACTCTTTCCTACTAGCTGTGTTAAAAGTATTGCTGCCTTTGATCTAATTCATGTGGATATTTGGGGGTCCTACAAATACGCAACACTTGATGGTAATAGATACTTTCTAATAGTTGTTGATGACTTTATCAGAATGACTTGATTATTCTCTTAAAACTAAAGATTGATGTGTATGTGGTCCTTACTCAGTTTGTTGCCTTTGTTCAAACTCAATTCAAGAAAACTCTGAAAGTAGTTAGGTCTGATAATGGATTTGAGTTCGTAAATTCTATCTATCATGCACTATTTCAGAAGTATGGTATTATTCACCAGAAGACTTGTGCATATACCCCTCAACAAAATGGAGTTGCTGAGAAGAAATACAGGCATATTCAGGAGGTAACTAGAACCTTGAGGTTTCAAGCACATATTCCTATAAAATATTGGGGTCACTGTGTTATTGCAGCTGTTTATATCATCAACAGAATACCAACTTCTGTTCTCAATGGCTTGTCTCCCTTTGAGCTGCTATATGGACAAGAACCTACTCTAGAGCATCTGAGAGTTCTTGGATGCTTGTGTTATGCCAAGTAAGTTCAAGAAACAAATAACCTTCTTCCCAGAGCTAAACCTATTGTTCTTATGGGCTTTTCTGACACTCAAAAGGGCTATGTGTTGCTGGACTTTGCTACTAATTGCTTCTTTATCAATAGGGATGTCTCCTTCAGGGAGGATATCTTTCCTTTTAAGGAATCTCAATCCTAACCTCCACTTGTATTTTTGTCATCCGATTCTCTTATTTATGATGCAGATTACATCTCAGCTTCACATGAGTCTCAGAGCTCAAGGTGGGCCCCTTCTCCTTCTACTTCTATTAGCCTCAGTCCTGAGGGTAATAACTCAATACAAGAGGATTCAGAGCAGCCCTCCAGTGCCTCTAAAGGAGTGTCAACTTCCTTGGCCTTCTGCTGATCAAAACACCATTGTCCTAAGAAGATCTCTGAGGACCAAGCAGGCTCCTATTTGGTTTAAGGACTGTGTGACATGTCCAAGTCACAAATTTGTTCCTTATTCTATTGCTCCTATGATGGTGTTTCTCCCAAGTATCAATGCTATCTATCTATCTTCTCTTCAATAGTAGAACCTACTACATTTGAAGAAGCAGTCAAGGATCCCAGGTGGGTAGATGCAATGTAAGCTGAAATTGCTACTTTAGAATCAAACAATAATTGGGATGTGGTTCCTTTGCCTGATAACAAGGTACCCATTGGCTGTAAGTGAATCTACAAAGTAAAGTACAAAGCCATAGGAGAGGTGGAGAGGTTCAAAGCTAGGCTTGTGGCCAAGGGGTATAGCCAACAAGAGGGTGTTGACTACCAGAAAACTTTCAATCCACTAGTAAAAATGGTTACTATTAGAACAATTCTAGTTATTGCTGCTTCTGAACATTAGCACATCCATAAAATGGATGTGTACAATGCCTTTCTGCAGGGAGATTTATATGATAAGATTTATATGACTCTGCCTCAAGGATTCAGAGCCAGGGGGAGCAGACCAGCAAGCAGATTTTTGAAATTCTTGTATGGACTTAAATAGGCACCAAAATAGTGGAATGCCAAACTTTCTGAAGCACTATTGAAGTTTGGGTTCATGTAGAGTCATCATGACCACTCATTATTCATAAAAGGGACATGCAAACACACTATAATAATCCTGGTGTATGTGGATGGCATGCTCCTTACTGGTCCTGATCTGATACTAATAAAAGAGGTCAAGGCTAAACTGCAACAAACTTTTAAGATGAAAGACCTAGGTGAACTAAAATACTTCCTTGGCATTGAGTTTGCCAGGTCACAACAAAGCATTCTAATGCACCAAAGGAAGTACACTCTGGAACTAATCTCTGAACTTGGGCTGGGAGCTGCAAAATCAGTTGTCACACCTATTGAAGCCAATATTAAGCTAACTACTAAGGAGTATGATGAGCATACTGGTATTCACAACACAACAAATGATGAATTGTTACCAGATCCTAGCAAGTATTAAAGACTACTAGGAAAACTACTCTACCTGCACAAGACCAGACATAGCCTTTAATGTTAAGACACTAAGTCAGTTTATGCAGAAATCCAATAGATCTCATATGGAAGTTGCACAAAGAGTAGTCAGATATGTGAAAAATCAGCATGGACAAGGCATACTTTTATCTACTAAGAAGAAGAACATCATCACACCCTATTGTGATGCTGACTGGACAGCTTATCCTCTCGCTAGAAATTCAGTAACTGGCTTCTTCATTATATATGGTGACTCATTAGTGTCCTGGAAGTCTAAGAAGCAGAGCACTATCTCTAGGAATTCTACAGAATCAGAATACAGAAGCATTGCATCAACTGTGGCAGAGTTAGTTTGGATATTTGGATTGTTCAAAGATATTAGAGTGTCAGTTCATCTTCCTGTGAACATTTACACAAACAACAAGACAACAATTCAAATAACTGCAAATCTAGTATTCCATGAACGTACCAAACACATTTGAGATAGATTGTCATTTCATAAGGGAGAAGATACAAAATAGGCTGGTGAAGACAGAGTATATTGCCACGAAGGAACAACTTGCAGATGTTCTAAAGACACAGTATATTGCCACGAAGGAACAACTTGCAGATGTTCCAACCAAAGGCTTAACCAGAGTACAACATGAATACTTGATGTCCAAGCTAGGTATTCTTATGTTTTCATACCACCTAACTTGAGGGGGAGTGTTGAAGAAAAAGGAGTGACTTAAGCATGAAGGGTAGTTTAGTTTATCTATACATGTCCGGATTAGTTAGTTTGTTAGAGGTTAATAATGTGAATGACTGGTTAGTTAGGAAGTTACATTAGTACTAAGCTAATTGTATATATAGGCCAATATAAAGATCAAAACATAGAGAATGAAAGCCTTTCACTGTTTCATTCATTTCTTCCTCTTCGTCTCTCTTCTCCCTCTCAGCTAGGGTTTTCTGGTGTCCTTGATCTATAAACTTTAGCACTTGTGTACCTAGTCATGAGTTTTTATCATTAATGAATTAGTCTTAGATTACTCATTATCCATGTTAATTTCACCGTATCACTATTTTTATAGTATAGGGAATGGGAGGTGATTCCTCTTTCTTCCAAGCTTGACATTTACAGGGGTACGTTCTGGTCTAACCCCTTGCATGTCTTATTCTTTTTCTTTTTTTAATTATTAAAAAAAGTTGTACAGTTTTGAGAAGAAATACAATACTGTGAGAAACTAATAGAGCAATAACGTGTAAGATGCCAACACATAACAATTTTTATGATAAACTAATGCCACTATCAAACGAGTGACCAACCGCTTACAAGAACTCGTGTACCAATACAAGAATCTCTGCTGGAACGATAATGATGGTGATAAATGATAATCATCTTTTTAATTGGAAATTATGTGTAAACAAAATATTGCTGTAATGGAATTTCCAAATTTCTCACACTGTGGCTAAATTTTGAAGTCCAATCATGCATATATACTAATGTTTATTTTAAATCTATATAATTAATGAAATGAGGAGATCAAAAAGAATAAAGAACGAACAAAAGTGAACGGCGAAGGATGAGTAAATTTCACGGGTGGCCATTCAATTTTGTGTTCATTACCCAAAAGTCACTTTTTTTTGTTACGTAAAAGTCATTCAAATTTGTGTTCATTACCCAAAAATCATTTTTCTTTCTTTTGTTACACAAAAATCATTTTACTAAGCTCTAGTTATCACAATAATTACTTTGATCAGATTTTATAAACTTTTCACCTGAAAAGTCTATTATGCCATTGACATTATAAATCCTCCTACTTATGTAATATACTCGTACATTTAATTTTTTCTTAATATTAAATTTTAAGATATATAAATAGCATTATCAAATTTGTCAGTAACAGTACCGTGGACAAATTTCAAGTCCACGTTTTTTATCATGCTTAATGAAATATATTTAATTAAAATTAAAAAATCAAAGCTCATTGTCACGACCCGTATTTTCCATCCTCGGGAGTCGTGATGGCGCCTACTAATGTGAGCTAGGCAAGCCGACTGTTTGAATCAATTACCTTTTTACCCCTTTTATATTCTTTAACAATTTTAAAGCAATAATGTGTAGACAGCGAAATTTACAATAAGCGAAAGAAAAGCAATGAACTATCTGAATATGTATCCAATACAACTGCTTGAACATCGACTACCCAGAACTGGTGTCACAGTTTTACAGACGGTCTAAGAATATTACATACAAAGTTTGAAAGATAAAAGATACACTGTTTCTGAAATAAGTAATGGAAACAGGATAAAGGAAAGATAGGAGGTGACGCCAAGGCCCACGGACGTCTACAGGACTACCTCGGGTCGCCTGTGTGGACTGAAGACAACACCCTCACTGCGGTCCAAGCGCTTCGGTATCAGTATCTACACACAGTGCAGAGTGTAGTATCAGCACAACCGACCCCGTGTGCTGGTAAGTGCCTAGCCTAACCTCGGCGAAGTAGTGACGAGGCTAGGACCAGACTACCAAATAAACCTGTGCAGTTAAATCATATATAGGGGAAATATAAAAGCAGATAATTACAGTTAAAGATGGGAGGGGGGAAAACATACTTCGGGGAATAACGGATAACAACAGAATATCAAGAGGAATATAAAGAAACCAAAATCCAATTACTAACAAGGATAAGGAAAACAAATGCAGAATTCACTTTCATTTCATATCTTGTTGCAGGCATGCAACCCGATCCCATTTCATATATCTCGTTGCAGGCGTGCAACCCACTCCCATTTCATATATCTAGTTGCAGGCGTGCAACTCGCTCCCATTTCATATATCTCGTTGTAGGCGTACAACCCGTTCCCATTTCATATATCTTGTTGCAGGCGTGCAACCCGCTCCCATTTCATATATCTTTGTGGCGGCGTGCAACCCGCTACCATTTCATATATTTTTGTGGCGGCGTGCCACCCGATCCTAGTTACAAATCAACAACAATCACAAAATAATCCCGACAAGGGAACAAGTGCAATATAACAACATCTCGGTAAGGAAACAATAATATTTCAACAACATCCCGACAAGGGAACAATAATATCAAAACAAACATCCCGGCAAGGGAACAATAATATGACAAAAACATCCCGACAAAGGAACAATAATGATAATAACATGTGAAGTGCAATAAACCACAACGGAGTCGTAACAATTACAATACAAGACTCATAAGCATGCTTGACACCGACGTTTAGATACTCGTCACCTTGCCTATACGTCGTACTCCATAATTAATATGTAGCAAATAAGACACGACTTCTAATCCCTCAAGCTAAGGTTAGACCAAACACTTACCTCGATGCCACGAACACAATTCAAGTCTCAATTATCAGCTTACCTATTGATTCCACCACCAATTCGCTCGTATCTAGCCACAAGGTACTTAATTACATCAATAAACGCTAAATGAATCAATGCCAATGCATGACAATAAGTTTTCCAAAGTTTTACCCAAAAAGTCAAAAATCGCCCCCAGGCCAACATGGTCAAAACTCGAGGTTCGGACCAAAACCCGATTACCCATTCCCCCACGAACCCAAATATATAATTTTTTTTGAAATCGGACCTCAAATCGAGGTCCAAATCCCCAATTTTTGAAAAACCTAGGTTCTACCCAAAACACCCAATTTTCCTCATGAAAATCATTGATTTTGAGTTGAAATCATGTGAAAAGATGTTAATGATTGAAGAAAATGAGTAAAAATTGACTTACAATCGATTTGGAAGAAGAGTTGTCTTTGAAAAATCGCCCAAGAGTGTTTTGGTTTTGAAAGAGTGTGAAAAATGAAAGATTTTCGGTTAAGTTATAAAATTGCAGGTTGCAGATGTCCCAATTGCGACCAGGGTTCGCAATTGCGAACCCAGGCTTATGCTAAGTTCACATTTGAGAAATGACCCTCGCATTTGCGAGGCCGGAATTGCGAACAAACAATCGCATTTGCCATATCAAGCCCAAAAGTGGTGTATCGCATTTGCGAAGGAAGATCTCGCATTTGCGAGGAAGGGCTGGCCTGGGCTGTTTCGCACTTGCGACATAGCCTTCGCATTTGTGAGCCAGGCTTCGCAAATACGAAGCTTGCAGGCCTGCAATGAAATAGCTGAAGCCTGCAATTTCTCAAGTCCAAAATCCACCCCGTGGCCTATCCAAAACTCACCCGAGCCCTCGGGGCTCCAAACCAAACATGCATACCAACCTAAAAATATCATACGGACTTGTTCGTGCATTCAAATCACTAAAATAACATCAACAACTATGAATTTAGCATCAAAATTATGAAATTTCTTGAAAACTTCAAAATTTTCAATTTTCTTATATACGATCCGATTCACGTCATTTCAAGTCCGTTTCTTACCAAATTTCACAGACTTATCTTAAATCACATATAAGACATGTATCGAGCTCCGAAACCAAAATATGGGCCCTATACCATCAAACTGTAAACACATTTCTCTTTCAAAAACTCATAAATATTCCAGAAAATAATTTTCTTTAAAAATTCATTTCACGGGCTTGGGACCTCGGAATTCGATTCCGAGCATACGCGCAAATCCCATATTTTCCTACGGAACCTCCAGGACTGTCAAATCACGGGTTCGAGTCCGTTTACCCAAAATGTTGACCGAAGTCAACTTAATTCTTTTTAAAGTTAAAATTCATCATTTTTTACAGATTTTCATATAATGGCTTTCCGGTTACGCGCCCGCAAATTGAGGTTAGATAGAAAGAGGTTTTTAAGGCCTCAAAATGCTGAATTTATTTTTAAAACAAGTGATGATCTTTTGGGTCATCACATTCTCCACCTCTAAAACAACCGTTCGTCCTCGAGTGGACAGAAGAAGGAAGTACCTGAGTTGAGGAAAATATGGGGATAACAGCTCCGCATATTGGACTCAGACTCCTAGGTCGATGCCTCAGCAGGCTGACCTATCCACTGAACACGAACAGAAGGAAAACTCTTCGATCTCAACTGACGAATCTGCCAGTCTAGAATAGCTATCGGCTTCTCCTCATAAGACAAGTCCTTATCCAACTGGACAGTGCTAAAATCTAACACGTGGGATGGATCGCCGTGATACTTCCGAAGCATGGACACATGAAACACTGGATGCACGGCTGATTCTCGGCGGCAATGCAAGTTTGTAAGCCACCTCTCCCACTCGATCAAGAATCTCAAACGGGCCAATGAACCTAGGGCTAAACTTGCCCTTCTTCCCAAATCTCATCACGCCCTTCATAGGTGACACTCGAAGCAATACCCGTTCACCAACCATGAATGCCAAATCTCGAACCTTACGGTCGACATAACTATTTTTCCTGGACTGAGCTGTACGAAGCCTATCCTGAATGATCCTGACCTTTTCCAAGGCATCCTATACTAGATCCGTACCCAACAACCGAGCCTCTCCCGGATCAAACCATCCAACTGGCAAACTCTGCTAAAG